CCAACCTGACCAATTCTATGGTTCTGTGATTCAGACCAGGTTGCTCAGGTCTTTATCCAGACAAGTCTTGAAGACTCCCAAGATGGAAAGTCCACTGTGCCTTTTGGCAAACTGCTCCATATCTTCATAATAAAGATTTTCTTTATATACAGTTAGAAATTTTTGTTTCATTCTTATGACTGTTTTTCTTTGTTTAATCCCCTATGAACATGAATCAGGAGAGTTGGTCAGTAATGCCCTTGTGGACATGGGCAGCTTGCTGTCAGTATTTTTAAGCCTTCTACTCTCCAGGCTGAAAAAGCCGTTCTTTCAAATACTCTTCACATGGTGTAGCTTCAGCCCCTTAAGCTGCTTATTGTTTAATCAGTACCTAGAAGAATAATTGCTTTCCTCAGTCTTCTGGCTGTGCTCCTTTTGATATAGTTTGTAGTGCTGTTAGGCTTCGTCTCTGCCAGAGCACGCTGGATTACTTTTCAGCCTACTGTTCAGCAGGATGCTCAGGTTCTTTTCAGCAACGCTGCTTTTTTTGCAAACAGGCCACAGCCTGCATCTTTGCCAGGAATTAGTCTATTCCAGGCATAGATCTTTGCATTTGTCATCACTGAGTTTTTAAGGCTTCTTTTGGAAATAGCCTGTCTAGATCTGTCTTGGATGACAGCCTGCTTTTAAGAGCATCAACAATATAGAGTTGTCCCAAATTCATTGTGGGTGCATTCCCTCTCCTTCTCCATGTAGCTGATAGAGATCCTAAGTAGGATAGAACTTACGGCAGGCCCTTGAAGAACTCTGACTGTAATGATCATTCAAGCAAACCACAAACTAGTAGCAACAGTATTTTGCCTGATGATTCAACCTTGATTGCCTAATTCTCTAATTCTTCTGAAACTTCACAGAATTATTGATCAGGACAGAAATTATCTAAATGAATGCTTTGCTGTCTGAAATAAGAAGGTTCACGTTTCCTTCTGTAAAGGTTACCAGACCATGCATTATGATGCACACTAGGGGAATAAGTGTGGTTTCCTTAAAAGAGAAGTGCAAAATTCAATTATATTCACCTGTTGTGTAATGTAAGATTGATGTTGGTACCTTGATTGAGCTTGAGATGTATGTTGAAAGATGATAATTGTTGTAATATTGGATACTAAGAAAAAAGGGAAAACACAATCAATACTTTGCTTTTCATGGTCATGCCATCCCAGCTGTGTTATTCTTTCCTTTTTCTCTTCCTTTCCCTTTTTTGTTCAACAGCCAGATTAAATTTGACAAAGAAATATGGGTACCAGAAATATTGTTGTATTCCTGCTGCTATGCATCATGAGAATGAGTGAATAGATTAATGAGAATCTCAGAGTGGAAAATCAGGTGGTGGCAGTTCAATTCCTGAAGAACTGCAAGCTAAGACTGGCATTTGGCAACCGATCAGCAAACCTGTACCTCTGAATCATGTTCTGCTATTTGCTTGTTTCTAGACACTTAACTGTGTGGCAGAATTAGGAGTATTGCAAAAAGTAAAGTGAAGGAACCAAGTCGTGAAGTTTGCTGATTGAGTTACCTCATAAATCCTTTTTTCTTTTAAGTTCCGTAACATTAATTGAAATTTAATAATCTGGAGCTAAACTTCATTGCCTAAAGATTGCTCTCTTAACTCGCAGAAAAGGACATCTGCCTTTGCATGCTGAGTGTTACATTTTTCTTCTTTTTAGAAAACAACTTCAGAAAATGGCACAATAATACTAGGTCTAAATTTGCAGTACTGACTTGACCAAAGCACTACATACTACTCTGAGACAGCCATCACAGAGCTGTATGTGTTTAAATTTGCTTGGAGTAACTTTTCAAATCTACGTAATTAAAGATTTCAGCCTACACATAGACTGAAGCATCCTTTAATATTTAAATGCTGTTCAGAATTAATCAGATATATATAAATGGTCTATAATTATATATATTAAAAAAAACATAATTCTCCATAGTAAGATAACTTTTTCATGGTGAAGTGCAATTCCATAGTATTGGCCAACTATGTTGCCAGTAATGTAAATGGAGAATAGATTTAATGAACTTTTGTACTGTAACATTAAGAAGACATTCCAGGACTGTCCTGTTTCTTAGTTTCTGCCAGTATTTTCTTCAAAAATGTGGATGGGTTGCAGCCAGATTCACACTACTGCATATTTTCTTTCCAGGATATTTTTGCACCTGGTTTAAAATGAGATATGACATATTCCTTTTCAATGGAAGAACTCTAAGGTCAATAATTATGTAGAAAAAAATCACTGAATTCTTCATATTGGGCAGTAAAGTTCCAATAAATCTATTTAAAAGGGTTGAGGCCTATGATTTTGTTTTCCTAATATTTACAAAATCTGCTAGCGTGGAAGATTATAGTAACAACCCTTTCTTCAAGCTGATGAGAGAGATTCAGCATGCACATAGGGTACCCTGATGGGCCCAACGATCCTTTCCTTTGAGGATCTTTGTCATTCTAGTTGCAAAAGTGGCTCTGCTATTTGGAGAGCTAAACTGGCTTACTTTGCAGCCTAGTGCAGTTGCATTAATTCTGGGTTACCATAAAATGCAGCTTTGGTGGATTGGCTTGTGGCTCATGATCAACTGATATGGACTGAAACTTCTCTAGCAGTGGTTGCTCAGGATTTGGGGCACTTGGAGTTGACGTCATGAGGCTCTCTGACAGGTTTGTCTTCGGTACATGGCAAAGTTTATTTTCCTTGTTTCACTATGTAATAAGAGACAGATGACAAACTAAAGCTGGAGTGCTGGTATTTAGAAAAGAAAAAAAGAAAAAAATGCTGGGCCTGTTCATTTTAATTGAATGCAATTCAAAAGACTCTCAGTGCATGTGTGATACTGGTCATTAGCAAGTTGTTTTTACATTAGGTACTGCTAAGGCTGTGGTCTGATGCTTCTGTTTCCCCTTGCTATGAAGGAATCTCATTATATCCCCACAACTTTTTGAAGCATGGATTTTAATTAAAATTGTAATTGTATTTTCCCAGAATGCTTACTTTGTTAACTGAATATCTCATTTGAATCAAACTGAAACAGATTGCATACTTTATTTCAGTTGACAGCACTTAATCTAGATTAATTCGTACTGTTCAACCATTCACTGGTGGAAAATATGAGGTGATGTTGTAGGCATATCTGAGTTTGGCTGCAGTGTAAAAATCAAAGAACTAACATTTTCCAAGAATGCACAACTTCTGTGTAATTGAAAGGTCACATTTGTTCAAGTTTTGAAGTATGACATCATACATGATACATGACCTTTGGAAAGCACACAAAAATATTGTGGAAAGAATGAATATTTAAAGACTACTTCTATTAACTGTATTTCATGGAAGTATAGTTACACATGTTAACACAAATGTGCCAGTTAGGTCTAGACCAAGCAATGGCCTTTGATTTTTTTGCATGTAAGCCTTGTCTGCCTGTATATCTATCTCTGCTACTGTTACTTTCTCATGTTGCAGCATTAGATTATCTAAAGAACAACTTGTAAGAGACGCGTGCAGATTTGTCTCTAAATTAGTTTTTCTCATCTGTTTTGGATTTCAAATGTAAATTTCCCCCTACCCAATTTCTCTCAACATTTGAGAAAGCTGATGCATCCTGTAGTGTAAACTTTGATGTGCTGTTTTATAAGATAGATAAAAATGCTTTTGATCTTGTGCAAAAAAAGGTGAAAGAAAGAATCCTATGATCAATCCACATTCTAAAGTGGCATTGTACCTAAATTCCTTTGCTGGAAGTGGCATTGTACCTAAATTCCTTTGCTCAGTAGTTCCTGGTTTGAAATTAAATTTTAAGGAATTTTAAAAAATGTAAGACTTAAGCAAGTATGATTTCCACCAAATCATTGTAATTGCATTGTAATCATTGTATGTGGAAGGGGCTGCTGGAGGGACGTCTTGTCTGGACACACTGTTCAAGTTTGCCTATAACAGGTTGCCGAGGACCATGTCCAGACAGCTTAAAGAACTTTAAAGAATATTAAAAATATTAAAAATATACATCACATGATTAAGTCTTATTAAAATATCACTAGTTTTCTATTTTCAAAATAAATGCTCATATGTTCTAAGAAGATATTTGAAGGTTGAAATTTTGCAGGTAATTTAGAATAGGTTTCCATTTAAATTGGTAAGCCTTTCCTAAGCCTACAAATATGCATGATGATGTATGGTACTGCAGTATATCTTAAAATAATAGATAAATTTCTTATGGAGTATATTTTTCTTAAAATAACTATGCTGCACATATATAGTTAAGATCAGTTTGCCCTAAGCTGTTGATGAGATCGTACGTATTGGTGTATTAATCCATAAGAAGTCTGTACTATTACACATCCACAAACATGAATGTTTGATGGTGTTTGTGAATTCACATTTGTATATACACAAAATGAAAAATAATAGATCTCATCTTTGCTTGTTTGCTTTAGTACAGTGAAGACCTTGTCAAAGGAATTATAGTTGGTGGCTCTCATTTGATACAAAGAATTTGTGCTTAGGTATGTGCAGGTAGCACATTTGAAGGCTGTGTATAGAAGATGAGCAAGACAGGCAGTTCCACACTAGCTAGCAGTTGTGTGTGCATTTGTATTTTACATTTTTTTCCTATTTTTTTTTCCACCCGGTAGCTTTTCATTTTTCTTCCAGAAAGCAAACATTGCCTGTCAGTAAGTGTAGATTCTCTGGCTCAGCATAATAAGCATATGACAGAACTTGGATGGAAAAATACCTAAGTCAAATATGTGGTAGATGAAAGAGGACTATTAAGTTAACGTCTGTTTTCATTACTATTGTTTTATACTTACTGCTAATGAAAGCTTTTTTTACTCTTCAATTTAGTTTTTACATTTAATATCTTTAATCAAGCAAACATCACTTTCACATTTTTGCTTTATTTTTTGTGTGAAATATCATTAGTACTGTTGAGCAATCTGTTGATTTAAGCTTTTGTGTTTATTTTAGGTTTACGAGTTGGATGGCATCCCCCTGATTCTAGACAATTGCAGCATTGATGACAACAATCCTTGTATCCTTTATGGAAGAATTCTAATATATTAAATATGACACATTTTAGAAAAGTAAAAGAAAGAAGGTGAAGAGTTAAATGTAAGCATGTCAACATTGCTTTCACTCAGTATCTAAGTCTTACTAACCTCAGTAGTTTGTAGCTTATTTTTAATGGTTGGTTCAAAAGTGAGTGAATTCATGAAGATGCTTTCATTAACTGGACATTAAGTAAATTGAAACACAGTTATACTCTACTTCTTTAAACAATAAATATTACTGTTTTACAAATATAAATTCAGACAGCTGATTGTGATAGAACTCCGAATTAAGAATGTATTTGTTGTGTCCCATCTTGGAGCTCTCATTTCAACTGAAATCTATTCAGTAAGCTATAGTAAATCAATTCAATTCACTTATTAAATGTGACTGTGGAGAACTTACTCTAAACATGGAGACAAAGCAGGCAAGCTACAAAATGATAATGTTTATAATCAAGAGTATTAATGATGCAGGTTATTGGAATGTTGAGTAGATTTTAATATAAACAACATAGTTCCTCATTTTTGTTGTTTTTTGTTTCTTCTGGAGTTCAAGAGCAGTCTTTCTAAGACAGAGTTGTTGGAAGGAAATAAGTTCACATTGAAGATGGACAACTATTAACTGGACTGTTTTACCCATCTGTTCATGAACTGCACTGTAATCTTGCTGGTGCGTTAACTAGAGTAGTTGTTTTCTGTCAGCTAATCATTAGTTCTGTATAAGATTCTGATAAATGCATCTGGAAATCAAGTGCCTTTCCAATTTTAAAGTAATGTTAGCTTTCCCATACTGAACTAATATTTTTCTTTTTTCTTTCAACTGATTTAACTCATATGTGTGTCCAGAAGAGGGCTATGAAGATGGTCAGAGAGCTGGACCACTTGTTTTATTGACAGGCTGAGTTGGAGTTTTTCAGCCAAAGAAAAGAGTAGGCTCCAGGGAAACTTTGTAGTGGCTTCACTACATGGAACAAGGGGTACTGCTTTTAAACTAAAGGAGAGTAGATTTAGATTAGATATATGGGGAAAAGATTATTTACCATGTGTAGAGAGGGTGATCTGTGAACAGGTTGCCCAGAGAAGCTGTGAATGCTCCATCCCCAGAGGCATTCAAGGCCAGGCTAGATGGGCCCCTGGGCAACCTGGTCCACTGAGAGGTGTCCCTGCTTATGTCAGGAATTTTGAACTAGATGGTTGTTAAGGTCTCTTCCAATTCAAGCCATTCTGTACTTTTTATGAAAAAGCTTCTTTGTAACAAGTATCATTAAAAAAAAGAAAAGTTGTGAAAATGTTTCCATACATGATGTAGATAGGTAGATGATATGTAGACGACGTAGAACATCATCTACATATAAATATGTCATAAAAGGGTAGGTGGAGAAGTAATGAATGTGAAGTGTCCGTCAACTTATCACTACTTGCCTTATGTGTAATGTTTTTATGTTAATCACATTTCCTGCAGAGAGAATCTTGGCAGTGTGTCTGACAGTGCACTGAACAGTAGAGCAGTACTTCCTTGTTCCCATTCTGGAAAGAGGCACTGCTGGGTTGCAGAACGAACAGGATCCCATTATCCTTCTCCAAGCAAAAGAGCAGCCCTGAAAAAAACATAGTAAGGAGTTTTGATCCTGAGTGACTGTTCCTTTGCTTGAAAGCACAACCATGCAGCAACTTTTGGAATCTTTCTATGACTAATTTTTCATTCTAACTGTTAGAAAAAGAGAATAATTTGAGGCCTTCAAAGAGTAGAACTGTAATTTACAGTCTTGAGAGAAAAGAAAATAAAATACCATGGGAGCTTTTTACTAAATTGTCAAAGTTCTTACAACTTCTGGTACAAACCAGCATTTTATGGCTGAACTATAAACTTCTTGCCAGAAGTTAAAACTTCACTTAATTGGTTTTAACAGCTTACTAAACATAGTGACACATCTTAATATAAGCTTTCATCACTGATCCATAGCATGCAGGTACGTGAAAATGTAGTAGCACTTGGGCAGAGTAGAGACTAGCCTGCTGTGGCAAAATTTGCTTTGTCAGCTTTTGGAGAGCAGTTTCTGGCTACTGCATTTATTGTTTTGGCATGAAGTTATTCCAAACAGTGCTGTACTGCTTGAATTTATTGCTTCCCTGCTTCTCTTCTGCCTGTTAGCATTCCTTGTCTGCTGTGTACTGAGCTGTCTGTATCCAATTCAGCTTTTATCTGCTTCTTAGAATGTTTGGATTCTTCCAGACCCCATAAACCAAGGCCTCGGTAGCATGTGGGTGTCCAGCTCCGTTGCATTGCATAGCATTCGTCTGAAGAGATTTTGCTAATTCCCATCTCCCTCTTAGCACCCAGTTCTGCCTGGAACAAACCCATTTTGTGGTGCTTGTGAAACAGAACAGTGCTCTTACTGATTTGAAAGCATACTTGCTTAAAATTGAAACATACCCGCATTGTAACCTCGCAATCCAGAGAGAATGCATTTTGTCTCCTTTCAAGGAATATTTCTTAAAAGAAAGTACATAGACATCTCTTGAGATAGATGTTGAAAGAGTTGCTGAAAATTGAATACAATCACTCACCTCCCAGGAGGATGTAGAATGCTGCAAGGAAGGGAAATCATTCTGTAGCTCTTCAACATGGGTTTCTTTAGGAAGTCATGTCCAGAAACTTTCCTTTGTATTCTTTTTTTCCTAAGGCCTGTTTTTGTGGTTTCAGGCTGTGTTGCTTGTGTCTCCTTTTGTAAAAATGGCTGGAAAAGCTTCAGCTAGTTTCCTTTAATATAAGATCATCTTGTATTTTCTCCTAAAGCTCTGCGTAGATGCACATTTTTATTTGAGCTTTGTCTGTTTTGAGACATCCAAGCTCAATAGCTAAGCTGTTGTTAGATTTTCTACATAAAACAAAGTAAATGCTCTGATTTTGAAGATTTTATCAAGTTCTGCCTCCAAGTCATACCTACAAAATTGTCTAAAGAAGGTGTAATTGTGGTAAAAGTGATACAATTCTTTTCTGGGTAGAAAAAAATCATTTTCCTACAATATGCAGTTCATCAGGAAAAAGTAAACTGCCATGTTAGATCTTAAGAGTCCTTTATTATTTGAGAGGAGAAATCTTATTTAATAAATCTTTTTTTTTTTTTTTTTTTTTTTTTTTTTTTGTATAAAACACACAGAAAAAAAAATGGGTCTGCACTTATCTTAAAATGAATTCCTATGTGAACCTGTCATTACTATAAAATTGCATCCTTTGAGTTCTCGAACAACTTTGTAATGTGCATAGAAATACCAGGAAGTTCATTAGTTATAAAATTACAAGCTGAAGTTCAGCTGATACGTTTGCATTACTTCAGCTTTTTTCAATTTGAATTCATATTTTGGTGTCTAGAATAAAATGTATTTTATTCTGCTCCCTTAGCCATCATCTTCCTCATATCTGACAGATGATAGCATCAGAAAAGGGCCCATCTCCTCATCCGCTACCTTTTTCTCATCTCTTACTGCTCCTTCCAGCTTCGTTTCTGACCTTTCACAGGTACCAGCTGCTTAGCACAAGAAAGGAGGCTAGCCCATTCTGATCAAAGTATTGTTGATCCCCAACATCCAAAAATATTTATTATTGAAGACATTTCAGTTTACCTCAACTCACAGTGGCACTCTGAAAGTTGTTCTCTGTTTTTCGCATCTTCCTGACATTTAGGCTCATCTTTTTAAAATGTAATGACTGCCCTTAAAAATATTTATTGCAAATTTACAAATGGTCATTGCATTCAGAACACTGCAATGTAGTAACTGCTAGTTAGTGGTCAATTTTGAAGATGAGAAGTGAAATGCAGTTTTGAAAATATAATATTTTGATTTTGGGAGATTGCTTACCAGTCTTAAAGTTATGAGATTCCTTTAGTCAGTTTTCAGTACATTGATTTTGTGACAGAAGTTAATTGGAATTCATCTTCTGTAGGTGTCTATGTTATGTTAACCCTAATTAGGCATGTTTTTCTGTTAGTGAAAGTGCAGTCACACATAGGAGAAAAAAAAAAGATATTGTTGTGTGGTATGTGCATGCACATAATTTTACTTGTATGAGTAAACACCCAGATGGCTTTGTTTCATCAATAAAAATATTCAGCATTAGTGAAAGGAGCTGTGGCTACTGTGGATATCCATACATTGTCTTTAGTCCTTAGTTTGAGTAATTTGAATTGTGGATGGAAATGGAGCAAAAGAAGTTAATTTTCAGATGCTCCTTCCATAAGCCTTATTCTGACTTGATGACAGCAACAGGTATAATTGTGGTTCATGAAACTTTTAGCTGGAATTAGAAGAAATCCAGTTGCTATGGTCTACAACAATGGTCATTTGTTTTTGTGAGTTGCCAGCAAAAACTTTAGGGGGAACTGACAGACATTTTATTTCTGAGTTACAGAGTACCACGTAAAACAAGCCACATACAGTGAAAAAGCCTCACTGCTGAACAGAAGCCAGCAGAAAGCAAAAACAGGAGTGCGACTTGACTTTTTAGAGTAAATCATGATATTGTTGAGCATTTTCATGTAAATGTGGCTATCCCTTTTTGTCTGGGAAGAAAAGACAGCATAATATTATATCGGTAATGGTTATCTTTCTTTGGAAAGCTTGCTTTAGGCACTGCCTCTGCATTCACCATTTTAAAATGAACTATTTGACTGTATTTTCATGACATACATAAAACAACATTATTTCAATGGCTATGGTCAATGCAAAAGAACTCAACTACTGATGAAAACTCTCCACAGCCTGTCAAGTTCTGTCCATTTGGAAGAAATTACCCTTGTCCTCATCCCATAGACAGCTTCTTTGGTGCATAAGTCTGAAGTCTGCTTGGGCTAAAAAGAATTGTGTTCTTTGGCAGAGGGCTGCAGTTTTCCATTATCGCAGGCTGCTGCTGCTGCAACCCTGATCCTCTGATATAGAACACTGTGAGAATCTTAATTGATCTAAACCAGTGCTGGTTGGC